CAGGGGATATCCTTGACGAAGTCCTCTTGAGGAAGGGAAAAACCCTTTTGGGCTCTGTTGATGAGTATCGAGAAATGAGGATGGGAAATGCAACCTTTCATCCACTGTCTCCATCAGTCACCAAATCCCATTCTGGCCAATGTCTCATCTAGCACTGACCAATCAACATGGTCATAGGCCTTTTCCCAATCGATTTTGAAGATGAGACCTGACTTTTTGGATAAGTGTTTGGATTATAGACAGTCATGTGCCACAACAGTCCCATCAAGGATTTGCCTATCTTTGATAAAGGCTGGCTGAGACGGCGAAATAATCAGTGGGAAGACTTGTTTAAGCCTTGATGCCCGGACCTTGGCCATAATCTTATAGGATGAGTTGAGCTGGCTAATCGGGCGAAAGTCCTTTAGTTCCTTTGCCCTTTCTACCTTAGGTACTAAAGCAATAAAGGTGCCGTTGATTGCTTTGTGTAGGACACCCCGTCGGTAGAATTCTTCAAAGAAACTAATGAAGTCAGGTAGAAAAGTTCCCAAAAAGGATTTGAAAGGGGCCATGGGAAAACCATCTGGCCTTGGAGCTTTTTCTTTCGCTAATTGGTCTATGGCACTGGAGATTTCCTCCACTGTGAAAGGTCATTCAAGCCATAATAACCAATAGTCTGGAAGGGTAGGAAATTCAGGGTGGTCATCCTTGGTCTGTAGCCCCGAGGGCCAGTATAAAGTGACTTGAAGTATCCAAGGATGGCGGATTCGATCTCATCCGGCTGGACCAAATAGCGATTGTCCACCTTGATAGTGGATATAGAATTTTCTCTTCTTCAACAGTTCGCTATTCGGTGGAAGAAAGTAGTATTCTGGTTCCTTGCTTTTAACCATTTGACTCTGGATCTCTGGAGCCAATAGAGTTCTTCTTTCTTAAGGGTGGAAAGGTACTCCAGCTTGGTGTGGGTTCTAAGGTTAACTTTTGAGTCTGTGAGAGGTCTAGACTCTTCTAAACAGTCATGGTCTTGGATGGATTTAAGCAGAGAGCATTTAGTTTGGGAGTAGTTTCCCTGTAAAGACTTACTCCGGGTTTTGAGGGACTGTATAAGGAGTTGGATTTTAGTTTGCTGCCTAAAACCAGCTCTACCCGTAACTTGGGTAGAAAAAGAACTCCACTAGCTAGGAATCAGGGTTTGGAGAGATAGTTCTTCTAACCATGTCAGTTCAAAATCTAAAAGGTTTTGGTCCTCTCTTGACAGGTTGAGTGTTTAGGTTAATGGGGCAGTGGTCCGAGGTTGGTTTAAGCAAATTTAAGGCATGGGAGCCCGGAAAAAGTTCCTCCCAGTCCAAGGAGAGGAGGAAGCGATCCAGCTTAGAGAGGGAAGGTTGGGAAGCATGGTTCGACCAGGTAAAACAATTACCTTGGAGAGGAATATCAAGAATTTCTTGGCGAGAAATAAAATCAGAAAAGTCCATCATTCCCTGAGATATAGTGGGGTTAAGATTTCTCTCATGGGACCATCTAGTGATATTGAAATCACCACCCAAGCACCAAGCAGAGTGAGGTAAAGAGGCGACAAAGTCTAATTCAACCCAGAAATGAGGCCTATTTAGATTTTTTACTTCTCCAATAGGACATAAGAAATTTTAAATAATATTTGGGGTGTTAGCAAGTCGAGATTAGCTTTGGCATGTTCAAGCTCGATCTGTATTTATAGAGCTCAATCTTGAGCATGGCTAAGCTTGAGCGACTGACCCTGAACTTGGGTTGATTCAGGTAAGGGAAGCTTAAGCTTGGTGGACCCTCAAATCGGTTCAGATTGAATCTAGGTTGTTGGGCTCATATGTAGCTGTGAGCCAGTGGGCCTACGGCAGCTTTGTGGTAGGATTAGAGGAAAAACAAACACAAGCAGGATAAAAAGATAAAGATAAATCCATTGCAAACAATCACAGAAGTACAAACTACCATGTCCAGCAGCAAAAACAAAGGACTATAAGAACCATATAGAAATATCATCAATGAGCAAATTTTCAAAGACAATAAGAATGCAACAACACATGACCTGGAAAAGAAGAGAACGGTGGTTAGTATCTGAGTCAAATTACTTTGTCACACGATACCTAGGTCTTCCAATCTTGATTGCAACCATATGAAATAAATCAATGATGTAAATAATATCCAAACAAAATAACAATAGTAATACAAAGGCTCCAGTGTCAGCAAATAATATTTGTAGGACTTCTAAAGCTTCTATTACAAGATACAAGTAACTTGGTTTCTTCTAATAATCTTTAGAGAGTGTGACCTTAAGCAGTGCCTTGGATTGTGGCCCTAATCGCTTCAAGGTTGGACCAGAGCATGAGATTCAAGAACCTTAGGCCATGTGTCAGTGCAACACTTAGGCTCCTAGAAGATGACCAGTGCCTTAGAGGAATCAATCCACGAATAAAGTGGGTAAGACCACTTCAGTGAATGTAGAACACTGTAGATTGACTACGAGCCTTCAGCATTGTTCAAGACAATATAAAGTGAAGAGGACAACTCTATATCACATCTTGTTGTTTTAGCCCTTTCAATTCTATTGTTTTCTGTTGGTTCTCTATGTAATTCTTGGTTTAAGGGTAGAACAGATGAGATGTGTGCCTATGTACTTTAAGAGTCTTACAGTTCTAGTGAAATCATAAAAAATATTTCCGGCCATCTTTTAGGAGCCTAATTGTTACATTGACACGTGGCGTCAGGTTCTTGAATGTCATGCTCTGGTGCAACCTTGAAGCGACTAGGGCCACAATCCAAGACACTGCTTAAGGTTATACCCTATAGGATTATTAGAAAAAACCAAGTTACTAGTATTCTGTAATAGAAGCTTTAGAAGTCCTGCAGATATTAGCTACTGACACTGAAGCCTTTGTATTACTATTGTTATTTTGTTTGGATATTATTTACGTCATTGGTTTGTTTCATATGGTTGCAGTCAAGATTGGAAGACTTGGGTATCATGTGACAAGGCAATTTGACTCGCATACTAAGCAACGTTCTCTTCTTTTCCAGGTCATGTGTTGTTGCACTCTTATTGTCTTTGAAAATTCGCTCATTGATGATATTTATATATGGTTCTTATAGTCTTTTGTTTTTGCCGCTGGACGTGGTAGTTTTGTATTGCTGTGATTGTTTGCAATGGATTTCTCTTTATCTTTTTATCCTGCTTGTGTGTTGTTTTCCTCTGATCCTACGTTGTGTAGATTTAGTTATTTGTCATTTTTAAAGAATTTTTTTTCAGTTCCTACATTATGTAGATTTAGTTATTTAAGTACTCCATTAAGCTTGTTGGTGGTAATATGTCAATTGAGATTCTCCTCTTGATTCACCTGAAACCTGAATTCGCATTTCAGGAGACTAAGGCCTACTGATAGACTTAATAAGGGCATTGCAAAAGATAATGATTCAAATTGAAAATCTGTTCTGAAGGGGAATAAGTGCGGCAAATGGGCCAAACATTACTTATCATTTTGAAGATAAAATACACTAAAATTCTCTCAAATATAAAATAAAATAAGAAAATGCACCAAATAACTACCTGAAAAATTATTGAAAATATTCCATGATGAATGGGTAAATCTCTATAATCTCCCATGTGGGGGGAGTTAGAATCACATATGAATGAATGGTAGGAGATGGAAGTTAAACCTGTTTATGTTTTGCTTGTGATCAAATTTTACTTGTAAACCCTCCTTTGATTCAATGAAGAACAGTTAATTATCCAAGAAAAGGGGTAAGCCTGTTTGTGGGTCATTCAACAGGGTGGACCTTCGCTTGAGATTAGAAAAGAAATTCCCAAATTAGACTTATGCTAGTGATTTAGAAAGATCCAGATTTTTTTTCCAATTGTATCAAGATTTGGCTGTCAAGCATAATGGTGTTATATACAAGTTCAATTTTCTCAGCCAGACACTCTTCTATCTAGCTTCATATATTTGTGAATTGGAAAACCTCAAAAATGATCCTGAACTTCATGAATTTTCACTTATTCTCAAAACTTCCACCCTGACACAAATTATAGGTATGTTTGGCTGATCTTTTTTCCTTTAGCTGATTTTTGGTTTATTGATCTTGCCATACTTCTCTCTAGAATGAGAGTCCTAGGTCAAGGATCATCCCAATCTGATACCATGTAGAGAAAGTACAGAAAAAAAAATTCCCATGTGGAAACTATTAGGTTTCAAAGGAGAAGAAAAGTTGGCTGGACATATTTTTTATGATTTCATTGGAACTGTAAGACTCTTAAAGTACATAGGCATACCTCTCATCTGTTCTGCCCTTAAACCAAGAATTACATAGAGAACCAACATAATACAGTGGAATTGAAAGGGCTAGAACAACAAGATGTGATATTGTCTTGAACAGAGCTGAACGCTCATGGTCAATCCACAGTGTTCTTCATTCACTGAAGTGGTCTTACCCACTTTATTCGTGGATACCAGTCTCAAGGCCAGCATGTGAATCACAATGGGCTGGTATTTTGATTGATGCCACTTACTAGAACTGGATGCACCAATAGAGCTCTTGTTGATTAGAATATGCAAGAGCATGATGCTGTTCCTCACTAACCTGGCGATGGAAGTGTTCTCTCTCACACTGCATATGCCCCATCCATGCATTTAAAAGTTCAGATTTGAGCCTTTACCCTAGCTCTTAAGTATGTTCATACAAACTCCCTTCGTGATGTGTACCTCAAAGGCACTGGTCATCTTCTAGGAGCCTAATTGTTGCACTGGCACATGGCCTCATGCTCTTGAATGTCATGCTTTGGTCCAACCTTGAAGCGATTAGGGCTACAATCCAAGACAATGCTTAAGGTCATACTCTCTAAGATTATTAGAAGAAACCAAGTTACTTGTATCATGTAATAGAAGCTTTAGAAATCCTCCAGATATTATCTGCTGACATTGGAGCCTTTGTATTACTATTGTTATTTTGTTTGGATATTATTTACATCATTGATTTGTTTCATATGGTTGCAGTTAAGATTGGAAGACCTGGGTATCGTGTGACAAAGCAATTTGACTCGGATACCAAGCAACGTTCTCTTCTTTTCCAGGTCATGTGTTGTTTCATTCTTATTGTCTTTGAAAATTTGCTCATTGATGATATTTCTATATGGTTCTTATAGTCCTTTGTTTTTGCTGCTGGACGTGGTAGTTTTGTATTGCTGTGATTGTTCGCAATGGATTCTCTTTATCTTTTTATCCTGCTTGTGTTTTTTTCCATATGATCCTACATTGTGTAGATTTAGTTATTTGTCATTTTTAAAGAATTTTTGTCAGTTCCTACATTATGTAGATTTAGTTATTTATCAAGGACAAATAATTTAAGATGAATAAGGATATTCTGTGCAGGTTTTCGGCCATAAGACACAAGCTTGTGGCAGAATTGGGATATTATGGAGATTATCCCTTGGATATAAGAGAAAAACCAACCAAATCATGTGGTTACCATCATTCGGACAATGGTCATACTGTGACTGGATTGTTTATTACTTGTAATCTGTTAGATTATTTCAGGGCTTAAGGGATCATGTTAAGTATAGAAATGCTTATATTGTTCGTGTTGTCAGAATGAATGTAGAAATTTATTCTTGGTGTTCTCATTGTATGTTAAGGAACCGTTCTCCACAATATCCTGAATGACTGAAACTAACATCAGCTTTGATCTTCCCGCTCAGAATCTACTTGTCATATCCTTCATACATTTTATGACATACCTTCAAAAATTTTCCAACTGATGAAGGTCATGGATTTGAAATTTTAAACTGATGAAGAATATCCACATATGCATGGATATTAAATGAATAGAACAAGAGAATAGGTAATTCACTCAAAGAGAGAGAGAGAGAGAGAGTAGGCTTACACAGGTAGAATATTGTGTGTACACAATAAAATATGTTGTACTTGCAAGGTGTTCATTATGAAGTATCCGTCCACATTGAGGACTTGCATTTAATCTTCAGAAAATGAAAATTAAAGTTGAGTTGAGCTATCAGGAAGTAGTGACTGAATCTGCTGATGGTTGCCTCTTGTTATTTGTATTTAACACAATATTGTTATAGTTATGTAAGGCTACTCCTACATATGGAGTATTTCTTTAATGTACTCAACATTTTTGAACATTTAGTACCTTTACTCGACAATGTAGTAACTTTTCGTATAAGGGTGAGGCCTTAAACAGTCAAATTAAGGCTCACCTAAAAAATTCACTAGAAGACGTTTCAATATTGAAAACCCTCAATTCAATCATCTCGACCTCAAGATGAATGGACAAAAAGAAATAGATTTTAAGTTTTAGAAATAATGCATCTTGTAATCTATTATCTGGACCATCAATTTGCAATATTTTCAAGTGTTCATAGATCTGCTCGATTTGCACTATTTTTGCATTTTTAAATTTTATAATTAAAGATGAAAACAAATTTCAAGCCATCACAAAGACTTCTGATATGGAAACAACATATTTACACAACTATTTGAAGGTGCACGTTATTTTGATTGTTAGGGCCTCAACTTTATGGAAACCACACCCTTTAGGTAATTAATTAATAGTAAAGTAGAAATTCTTGATAGAAAGAAAAACATTTATTAACTATAGTGGAGAATGACATCATCGACATAGACGTAAAATCACCCACATGCATATTTAATTATATTCTACCCCTCTTAATGAAAAAAAATACCTTTGATCGAAAAAGAATTTATTACAAATCAAGGGTAATAAATGTCCAAAAATATTGAGTACATTAAGGCCATACTCCATGTGTAGGAGTACCCAAACATAACATACATGCTCATGGGGAGTGTCGCTTGTTTTGTCTAGTTGCAGTCACTAAGAAACTTATATGATTCAATGTTTGATCTTGTATTGTTCAGCTTCCTCGTATATATTTATTGGGGAAGATTTATTATGCTATTCTATATATATTATGGGTTAATTCGGTTTCTTTCCTTTCTAATGCTGGCTTTTTGATTTGTTGCAGATTGAGTACCCTGAAATTGAAGACAATACTAAGCCTAGACACCGGTTTATGTCATCATTTGAGCAGGTTAATGTGGATTATTTTCTAAAAAAATGAACTCCATGTTAACCCATAATATACTTGCAATGCATCGATATTCCCTTTTAGCCTTTCCACAATTTTTATAGTGGCTTTGGATTGGCTTGCATCATTCTTGCCCTAATCCCTGTCTAATTTTGCTTGATTTTCTTGTATGAGGAAGCCTCCCATTAAGAACCCAGTTTAAGTTGTGATCTAGCTGCAAGACACAAGCCAAGTGTTAACAAATTACATAACAAGAAATACATGACATGATATATTATGTTTTGTCGAAAGATTATATGCTCCCGGAAGATATTGTACATTTTCGCCCTTGGGGTGAGGCTCTATCTAGGCGTATTTTTAGGAGCCCAAACTTTGGGGATATAACCTCTTCAACCTAGAGACCAACCATAGGAAAAGAAAATGTACCCATTCTATATGTTCCTGAAAAAAAAAAAAAAATCTTGAACAGTGTTAAAATTTTGGATGGTCAGGTCTAAGTTAGAAACTCAAAATCCTTTGTTTGCTTGTGAAAATACTCATCTGGTGATTCTTAAGTGGCCCCCAATTTTCATGTCAAAAAATGCCCTCCTAATTAGCTCTTTTACCTCACGGAGAAAATGTACAGTGTGATTCCTCAATACTAACTACTCAGTAGTATGCAATACATGCTGTTATACGTTTGTCTATTTTGTGGCACAGAGGGTCCAGGGCTGGGATAAAAGGTACCAGTATCTTCTATTCGCTGCCGAGCCATATGAGATCATTGCTTTCAAGGTATGCCATTATCAATTCAGGTCACAAAAAGCTTACTGACCATGGTCCTTATACCTAACATGCCTCATGTCAAACTTATCTTTACCTCCCTCTGGCCAGGTTCCAAGCACTGAGATAGATAAATCCACACCAAAATTCTTTTCGCACTGGGACCCCGACACAAAAATGTTCACGGTTTGTTTGACTATTTTCTCTTCTTGGGGAGTGTACTAAATTTATGATGACTATGGAAAATCCATCTTTCTTACAATCTTCACAAACCATTGAAATGATGCACATGAACAGCACGTGGGACCTGCCAAAGTCCGAAGGAGGACAGGACTGTCATGGCTCCATCACTGTCTATGATTTCAATGGACTGTGATATGGCCCCAATGATTCTAGATTTCCCACGATCATTTGGATTAGAACAATTGTTTCATGCGGGCTCGACTGCATTTGTACAATATGCAGTCCAGAGGTATAAAGCATCCATCTTAAAGACGGATGCAAATAGGTGGTCCATCTAAAAACAATTGTAACCAACGGTCCAAATATTTTCTTAATGTAATTGTTATTTCAAGTTTTCAAAATTTATTTATTTATTCATATTCATGATCTCCATGTTAAAGATTATATATTCTCTAAAAATTAGGAGCAAATTATATTTAAAAATATATTTATTGCCAAGCCCGCATTTGTACATGTGCGAGCTTGGCCGCATGCTAATCGCACGTCCTTTGGATTATGGCATACTTTTCTGTCTTATTTACTCTTCTTAATGCTATAAACTGGAAATGCAGACTTTTAGTTCATGATTATATGTACAAGCTCTCTCTCTCTCTCTCTCTCTTCTCTCTCTCTCTCTCTCTCTCTCTTCTTTCTCTCTCTCTCTCTCTTTTTCTTTCTCTTTCTCTCTTCCTCTTAAATTTATAGTGCACTCTGAAATCTGTCATGTAGTTGCAACTCTACTTCAAAACCAAACCACCCGAAGCCAACAAGCCACCTGGTGTGCCTCCTCCTGTCACTACCAATGGTGCTCCTCCTAGTGCCCCCCCACCTCCAAGGACGCTGCCACCACCACCACAGGCACCACCACCCCCACCACCACCGATGAACCCTCCTCGGGCCCCTCCTCCCCCATTGGGTGGGGGCCCTCAAGTGATGACAAATGGGCCCCGCCCCATGCCACCTGGCAGCGGCCCACCTGTCCCTCCGCCGCCTCCTATTGGGGGTAATACTATGGCAAACTTCACTCTTGGTAGTCAGATGTCTCAGCCTCCGCCTCTACAACAAGGGTTTCTAGGGCAAGGGGTTCGATTGGGTGCCCCTCCAAGTATTATGCCGAGGCCTGCACCTCCATCACAGTGACTAACTCCTTCCCTTTTGGGTTGTATAGACCCGTATGCTTGGCTTCCTGTGCTGTTTGTACATGTGACTGCTTTTTATTTGGTAGAGTTGGGGCTTGCTACGGCACATGAAACACCCTGCTTTTTATTTTAACTGGTTCAGCTTGGATCCTAGTGCAACCATTTGTTCTTTGGGATGTGATATATTGCCGCAATGGCGTGAATGCTTAGCTCTATTAGTTGTGGCGTGTGTTTTATGGTTCATTGTTTTGGGTAGTAAGGTTCTGCATCTTCACAGCACATTTACACGTGTTGAGCACTTTAAGCGGAAGAACTTATTTTTTGACAAGAATTAAGGGAAAAAGCTTTCAATTTCAGCCTCATGAAACATTGCCTGAATTATAAATACCCATTCTTGATTCATTTGCTTGAATTATTTTTTCACATTTGCTTGAATCTTTTTTTCACATTTCGGTGAGATCTATTTCAGGTAGGACTCTTTATGAGCCTCTGAGTTCCGTAACTGTAAAATTTGCCAAGATTTATAGCAGTGAATAACCTCCTATTTTTTGATTATTGGATTCCCAGATCAGATTGCTTTGAGAATGGATGGTTTATGTTTAGAAATGAGTTTCCTTGCATCAGCTAATTTATTATTTGGGCATCAGTGCTATGCCCATTGTGCCCTTCATTAGAAGATTACGCTGACCCAACAAGAAGAGTCAAATTGGCTCCTTGGTTTAGTGGATTTTACTAAAATGTGGGTGGCCAAACTGGCCTTTTTTTTGACAAAGCCCTATATTCGATCGTGATTATTATCATCTGTAAATTTTCTGAAGTTCTATCTTGAAATTCTGTACGTTATCCACACAAAGACTAGGCAACCCTACTTGATCCGAATTTTCGCCAAATTGGGGACATTTTTGTTTTTTTGGGTAATTAAGTGGGGAAGAAATTTGTTTTTTTGGGTAATTAAGTGGGGAAGACATCTTGAAACTCCGTACGGTATCCACACAAAGACTAGGCAACCCTCTACTTGATCCGAATTTTTGATAAATTGGAGACATTTTTGTTTTTTTGGGTAATTAAGTGGGGAAGATATGCCTCTTCCCATTTTTTTCAAATAGTTTAGGAGTTAGTTTTTTTTACATTATTAGTGGGATGGTATCAGTGGGAATGAAAACCATAATGTGGTGGCTAGGTTGTGGGGGTGTTACCATCATGACCCTAGCCACATTATAGTGTATTATTTGGTTGTGTATTGCTACGTAGAATGCAATATGGAGTAGCCTACTAAAAGAGTGGCTGCCCGATCAATTTTGGAGGTCAATGAGGCGGTGTTTTATCAATTCTGTTTTGATTAATGTAGAGCTTAACTAACACTTTTGTATGAAGTCCTAAAGTAACTTCTTAGAAAGAAGTTAAGAAAGAAAGAAAAAAAGGAAAAAAATATCCATACCCAGATTTTGGAATCTATTTATTAAGAGGTTCAAAGTTTCAAAACTTTTTTTATACCATAAAGTTTCAAACTCAAATAACCCTATTTGATCACATATTATTGACTTAAACAAATAATAAAATGGCACCTTTCTCTCAAGATTGAGCATAATGCGTCTCTCCTCTCTCTCTCAATAACCCATAGAGAAATTTTCTCTTTTATTAATCTCCTTCGAAATGAAACATTCAAACTTCACTTTTTCATTTTAAATTATTATTTTTGTAAAACAAATGTGCTCCCTCAGCTTGTTGCATACGCTTCTTCCACTGCAAATGCATAACCCGCAATAAAAAGAACAAAAAGAAGAATAAAAAAAGTGGGTCTCGACTCTCAAAATCTCTTCTTTCTACCTAAATGTCCTCTCTCTCTCTCTCTCTCTAGACTTTTCTATACCCCATCATTTTCGCTTAGCAAATTTCCCCGTTGATCGGAAAACCAAGACAACTGAAAATCTTGTGATGGTAAACCAAAACACAAGGAATTTCAGTCAAAATCCCGGCATACTGTTCACTAAAAAATTCATAAAAAATTGTTGCTCTGATATTGATTTCAAAGTCAAAATATGAACAAATTTAGGTTAAATCCCTTCAGGGGAGCACCAATAAAAGGCCATGATTTCTCCAGTTTTGAGGAATCTTAATAGCACTGTGAGTTTTTCTTCTCTGGTTTTTGTTTCGAAGAAGAGAGCATTTTTGGGTGAGAGAATTTGGGGGAAGAGGGAATTTGTGAGGTGCAGAATGACAGTGAGTTCTAGGCTGTGGATTGAGGACGCTTGCTTGAAGATCAATGGCTATGATGCTCTGACGGGTGTGCCGGATATTATGGTGTTAACGCTGGCTTCATATTCGTCGGTGTTTTTGGGGCGGTGTCGAAGGAGAAGAGGAGTCGCCATGTCTTCAAGCTCGGGGTTTTACAGTGAGCTCTCTCCCTCTCTCTCTCCACCGACTAATTCTTTACTATTTCTCTTTCTCTCTCTCAAATCTTTGTTCTGAATCGAATGTAATGAATTAAAGTTTCGAATTTATGTTTCCATGTTTGAAATGTAACAAGAGAAAGGAGAGAGATATAGACATTGTAGAGAGATGGGGCTTTTGAGAGACCATAGGGCCCGAGAGCTCTATGGGTTTTTGAGAGAGAAAGAGGGGACAGAGAGAGAAACACAATAGAGATCTGAGGCTTTTGAGAGGGACCATGAGGCTTTTGAGAGGGGACCACAAGGCTTGAGAGCTCTATGGGTTTTTGAGAGAGAGAGAGGTGTCATATTATTAGTTGTTTGGGTCAATAATATGTGATCAAATAGGGCTATTTGAGTTAAAGGGGTTGGATGATACAAAAGTTTCAAACCTTATGGTGTAAGAAAGGTTTTCAAACCTTAAGTCGTTTGAAAAATAGATTCCAAAATCTGGGGGTACGAATAAATTTTCTCAAAAGAAAACACATTAAAAAGTAAAATTGCTTAGTAGAAAAACAAGACGGCATGAAGGCATCAATAAGTAAAAACTTACAATAACTCTGATTGTATGCTATAAGACTATTCACTTTTAATATAAGGAGGTTAAAATCATTATTAGCCATTAGATGTGAAATCCGATAGATTAAGTGTTAAATAATATTCGATAAGTTTTATTTTAGACTTCATGCTCAATCAATGATACATATCCAATTACCCAACTTCCACTCAAATAATGCTACCATCACGACCTCAACCCCCATTGGTGACCTTGTACAAAAAAATAAGTTATCTCATTGTATACATTTCCAAATCAATAATGAGTTTGAACTTAGAAAGACAATATAAAATGGAAGGGCGGTTTAATGGTTTGGCTTGTCGAAGGCATGTAAAAAGATCCAAATGTATCCAAGAAAAAGTTGACAAATGATGGCATTCCAAGTTATGTAACTTGATTATTTAATAACAAATGATAGCTAATAGCTGAATTGGCAGGACTTGATTATACAAAAGTAAAGTGATATGGACCAATTAAAATAAGCTGAACTTGGTTGAAGGAGTGGTTTTGGAGCCCCTAGGTCTAAGCCGCCTGCCAAATCCTCATAAAGACAAGAACAAATAAAAAAAGCTGATGATAAACTTCATTCCTAATGGGTCCAGCAATAATATCTTTGCTGATACTGGTCCCATCTTCTTTTTACTTCAATTTCTTTTTTAATACTCATTTGGTGATTCTAAGTGGACTCTTTGCTTGGGATTTTAGGGGGAAAACTTCTAGGAATCTAACCTTTGACCTTCCTGCACCCAAACTCGAAAACTTCTATGACGGCTTGAAAATCTATTTCTGCTTCTGATTATAAAATTTGAAGCTCTAAAATGGTGAAGGTGGTGGATCTATAAACACTTCGAAAGACGATGGTCCCAATAATTAATTATGAGATACTATTTTTTATGATTGAAATAAGTATCCATATTTAATGAAATCAAGATGATCAATTTGAAGGCTTCCATAGCTTATGTTCATAGGAAGGGTTCTGAGATGTGGCTTTACTTTTTCACAATTAGTTTGGGCCTTACATTAATGTTCTCTTTTGGAAAAAGAGAATTGGCTTTCAAGAATGGGATCAAGGTCGGGTGGTCAGGTTGACGGAGTGCTACAATGTGACGTTTTGAGTTTAATTTGTAACATAAATAATATACCTCTTCAAATTGTAAAAAATAAAAAGGAACTCGGAACAATATACACACATACTCTCTACGACAATAGGGTATAAGAATGGTAGGTTTACGATGCTCATACTCTATCCATCCTACGGATTTTCATTTTGCAACATTTTCGTCATTTACTAGCAATCTTGAGAATTAAGAACCTTTTTAGACATGAAAATAGGAGCCCCAAAATTTGGATCCGACCAAGATTGCGTACTTAACTAGATAAAAATAAAATCAGTGAAAGTTAGAACTATAACATGTGCTTGAGAATAAAGCATAAAAATATATATACCACAAGAACACAAAAATTTATCATGTCTATGTCAAAAGGCTACTTCAAAGGGCAAAGAGGTAAATAAATTTACCAAACAATGCTTGCTCCGCATAAATAAATAAATAAATTTCAAATGCTTTCTCCGCATTATTCCGCATCGAGTTTGGTGTCCAAATTCAGGCTTTGGGATCTTAAATGTTACTAGTCGATTACTTGGATTACCTCCATTATGAGTTTTGATAAAAGAAAAACTAAATTCAAAACTTTATAGACCATTTATTTTAGTTCTTCGAAAATAGACAAATCCTATTATTTTGGAGTTTCAAGTTCATGGATTTGTGATGAAAATGAAATTGGACAAATGGGAAAGTGTCCTATCCACATAATATGGAGAACGGGAAGAGCGCACAAGCACACTTCCAATGGTTCAGATTAGATAAAGTTATATTCAATTGCTGTGATCTAATTTTATTTTTTATATCTAAAAAAAATTACATAGGTGGGGAAATGATTTTATGCAACAATTGTATAGCAATACAATGAATATTAAAAAACTATGTTAATATCATTTGTTTGACCCCAATTTTAAAATATACACTCTTTACATTCCAATGAACAATAATAAAAAAAATCAAAATTGAAAAACATACTCTGGAAAATATTTTTTTAGCCCAATTAACATAAGCCGTACATTTTGTTAAGATGCTTAGATCTAGGCCTTAAAATGATTTTTTTCTCTTTCAAATTTTTTAGATATCTTTGTTATCATTAGATAAACACTGTAAAAAAAAAAAGAAATAGTTTTAAGTACATAAATGCTTAGATCTTGAAATTCACCAAATAGATGGTTTAGATTCATTATTGGATGGAACTTATTTTAATTATATCTAAGATGTTAAATAATTTTTTTTTTAAAAAAATTGGTTATTGGGATGAAGAGAGGGTACCTACAAATTTTAAGGTCATACAATACCTACAAACAAGGGTCATTGTTTCAGGGTTAGTTTTGTCCTTTAAAAAAAAAAAAGAAAATAAAGAAAAGAAAAAAAGTAGCTAATCACCCCTGCAACTAATCAATTTCAAATCACAGACCCCAAATCTTCACTCCAAACCAGTTGAAGAGAGAAAGAGAAACAGAGGTCTTCATTAATATCACTGTGATACATATGACAAAACGGTAATTTTCAGGCGTCTCTTTCCCTCTCTTGTTGGTTACGTCCATTATGCCTCGTCTCAATCGAGCCGTCCACTCTTATTCTCCCTCCTTCTTTCCCTATAAATCTCGCCTTAAACTTGAACTCTCTTCTAGATCCCTACAATGGAGAATGAGCTGAATTCTCTATTTGAAAGACCAAAAGTAAGTCTTGATTTTCCATTTCTGAAACTATTCTCACTTCTTTTGATCATGTCAAGTTGTAGCCTGTTTGATGTTTTGTCTTCAATTGTATTCTAATTTTTCTCTCATTTGGTGCTTGCATCTTCGCATGCTTATTATTTGGTTTTTGTTCTTTGATTTTGGTGTTTTTCTCTAATTTCTTTGCTTACTTTCAGAGATGAATTGCCATTTTGGGGTTTATTGTGTTACTTCACTGGTTGTTATATTATTTTGATTTGTTTAGGTTGCTTCATCTTCATTTGTATATTATTCGATTTGATTTCTTTTATGTAGTTCAAATTTGGCTTCAAATGTTTTTCTTGGATATATTATTTGAGGTTTTAAAGATGATAGAAATGCATTGGATTTGGAAGAATGGATTCTTAGTATATATTATATAAACTCTGAAGAATGACTCAAACATACATATGATTATCAAACTTCTGTGGAAATCTCTCTGATAAAAACTGAGTACAAAGTCTGTCATCGATTTAAGAATGAACTGTATCTACAAACTGGTTTGAAGGGCTTCTTGATTTCCTGCACATTTTTTCTCTGTGTTGTTTTGGTAACAAGCACGGCGACACCATTTAAATGACAGTTAATTGACATCTTGTTTATCCCTTCCATAATATTCACCTTCATAGTTAATAACTTGATATAGCAGGAGTATTAAAACCAAGATCATGGAGGAACTTAATCAGATCACTAAAAGGAAAAGGGAAAGAAGGATCATGCTCCAACAGTGGCATCCTTATAAGCTAGGTCTTGCAGACATCCTAGCTACACAGAATACCAAAAAGTCAAGACTCAAGAAATGGCTTCCCCATGAGCAAGTATATATAATCCCATGCAAAAACTTAATCGAATAGAATTCCAAATAGATATTGCAAAATTAGAGAATCAATCTTAACAAAATCAGAAATACCAAATTTACCGATCCACCTAAGAGAAAAACCGATACTCCTTTCGTATGGTACGTTTTACCGCAATTCTGGTAAGCCACAGCTACATTTAGTGGTCCTATGGGACTAGTCTCCTCAAGGTAGCCAATGTGAAAAATAAAATCCCCCACTCCAACACCTCAGTGCGAAATCATCCCAAAATAGATGTTGTTGTTTCTCTAGGTTGCGTCTCCAATAATCTTTGTTTGAAATTGCAAAATAGCACTAATTATACTGAATTATCATACCCTGTGGTCTAAGCTCCAGAGTTTGTTTCGTAGTCATTGATACTTCGTGAATATTTTTATCTTTTTTTGCCTTTATCTCCCTAATTTTTCTTACTAATCGAGAGAACACCAATTAGTTTATGAGGACAACCGAAATGTTTCAATTTCACTTGAATATGAATATTATGCTACGCCATTGTTCGAAAACTCGAGACTTAGATTTGGCTAAGCAACCTAAGTTGAACCCTTATGAGTCAAGAGGTAGGTTTTACACCTTTGAAAAGAGCAAACCCCCCTTTTCTTACTAATATATACCTAAAGCCCTTAACTAAATATTTCCACGATGCACCTCCCACCACTAGAAGAATCACATGGAATCCACTCTCTGTTGGAAACTCTGATCTGAACATGCATTCACCATGTGAATTGATTTTGGCCTCCTTCTGTTTTAGGGCTTTTAGCATTATAGGTGCAATATTACACCTTGAGGGCCTTAATCCACGGATGCCGTCTCAGAAAGGGCACAAGACTTTGCCATGAACTACAAGCTCCTTTGCGAAGGATGAAATTGGCCGCGCTATTAGGGTATTTGCATTCAATGGAAACAAAATTGACGAAATGGTATTGAGGTTTTCCAAAAACAAGTAAAAATATTAATATGACATATGCAAATGAAATATAAAGGGTATTCTTACGTTGAACACTTTCAAAGCTTTTCAAAATAGATATCATCAGGTGTTAGTGACTTTATTATGACATTCTGAGATACTCTTTCTGTTTAAGGACTTTCACCATCAATTTTTTACCTTCACCTGTAAAGTGTGACACAAAGTAGTCATAACATTTAGGAAAGCCTAACCAGGTGGTCACTTCTCATTAATAGTTCTTCCAATATTGAATAGTTCCACTATTCATTATTTTGATAATTTTCTATATGCCCTTTGATGAAGCCAATGTTTTCAGACAAATTAATGTTGTCTCAGACCATTCCTTTTATTTTTTATTTTATGTTTGTGGATAAATATTTGTTATTTTTGCAGTCTTCTGGAATCTGGACATTGTGAAAATTTCACATACCGAGTGTTGCATGCTTCAGGAAAGTTATTTGCAGTGGTTGTTCTATAAGGCTAAAGATAGAGGTTTAATTTCTTTCTTTTTTTTATTACAGAAAGAAACATGGCAGAACACTCTTTCACTTTCTTTTCAAAGTCTTGGCGTTGTGTATGGGCACCTAAGTGTTGCACCCCTGTATGTTTTCGGGAGTATGTCATTGTCACCTAAAGAAATTATATCTGAGGAAGAGTTATATGGACTCTTATCCTTTATCTTTTGGACTCTGACGTTGATACCTCTCTTGAAGTATATCTTTATAGTACTACAAGCTGATGATAATGGGGAAGGTACCTGCTAATACCTACTTCTTTATGCTCAAGTCACTCTACTTTTTTATAATTCTTCTTAAAAGTTTCACATGAATGCAGGTGGTACATTTGCCTTGTACTCACTGTTGTGTAGACATGCAAAAGTGGGCCTTTTACCAAATTATCAGATTTCAAATCACGAGCTCTTAACAGATGATATGGGAAGCTTTTCTGAGATGAATATGGAATCAAAGGCAAGAAAAGTGTTTCAAAGCCATACAACCTTTCATTACTTGTTGTTGTCTATGGCCCTACTTGGTTCTTGCATGGTCATTGAAGATGGGGCCCTGAACCCTGCCCTTTCTGGTCAGAAAATGTTGATGAATGTTTGTTTGTTAATTATCTTATTAAAGTTAAAATAGAAAGCCTATTTCTTTGGATGGCTTGATGACTCATTGATATTGAAGACTGGTGCTCTACCGTTTGCAGTGTTCTCTGCATCATCCGGACTTGAGCAATCAGTCTTAAATGTTCCAACTGGATGTAAGTGTTCTTTTCCTTTTTGTAGTTATACGATTTATTATGTCATACTTTGAAAGCAGTGCTATCTATTTTCAGGATTGAATAAATTAGACCACCATGGATCATCTCTTTGAAAATTCAAATTTATGTTCTTATATCATGCCTACTTTCACTGCAGCTGTAGCAGTTCCCTTGACATGTGTCATCTTGATTGGCCTCTTTGTGCTTCAGCCTTATGGGACACATAAAATTGGTTCCATGTTTGCACCCATTGTCATCATCTGGCTCTTATTTATTGGCGGATTGGGTCTCTATAACATATTTTGTTGGAATCATCTAGTTTTTCATGCGCTCTGCCCAAAGTACATGTACAATTTTATGAAAACCTTGGATCTCAAGAATTGGGGTTCATTGAGCAGCATCCTTTTGTGCATCACAGGTTAATTATGTGAAAGTTTATGCTCGTCAGTTTGTTGACTTAATGTTCACAAGTTAAGCATTTACTGGTCTAATTGCAGGATCAGAAGCAATGTTTGCAGATTTGGGCCACTTCTCGCAAAAATCAATTAAGGTAGGGCGTTAAAAAGTGACTCGTACTTGTAACTCATTATTCTACTATCATTTGCTACAATGCATGTTCTTGACCTACATTAGTCATTGGGAGTCTTTTGTTTTCTGCTACAGATTGGTTTCGGTTTTATGGTGTACCCTTCCCTTGTGTTATGTTACTTGGGTCAGACTGCATATCTCTCAAGGAATCTTGAGAAATTTGGCACTCATTTCATTTCATGTGTACCAAGTAAATACATGTTTCTTCCTTTTTAATCATTTGTTATTCGGGTACAGTTTCTTTATCACTAATAAATTGCTTCCATTTACTCAAATGATTATAATGTGTAGTTCAGGATGCATACATGGTCCCTTCACAGTGCTAGCCATTCTTGCTTCTATTGTTGGAAGCCAGGCAATCATCACAGGCACATTTTCAGTTGTAAATCAATGCCTTGCACTTGGTTGTTTCCCGAGAGTGAAAGTGATCCACACTTCAAAGAATATACGCGGGCGTGTTTACATTCCTGAGGTGAACTGGATATTAATGGCCTTGTGCCTTATTTCCCTGGTTGCTTTCAGGGACATTGAAGACTTGGGAAATGCAATAGGTATGGGGCTCATTCATCTTCCTTCGAAGTTTTTCTTGTTTTCTTTGGTAAATCCCACCCCACTATAACTATAACTATAACTATGACTATAAATATAAATATAAATATAAATAATATATATAT